TTGTCTACATTTGAAACCATTCATCTAGAACCGAACAAAAAAAAAAAAACCACCCCACCTTTGACTCCAGATTTACAGACTAGGATGACTAACTGCTTGCTGTTTACCCGTAAAATCCCATGACAAAATTTAATCCTTTAGGAAGGCAAGTCAAGCTATATTGAGCTATAAAGCTCAATCATGAAATAAAAGTGCACTGAACATATAATATTCTCTCAACGTGCTAAGAAACCACAAATAATTTTAACCAGATGTGCGTGTAAGTATACGAACATTTTTTATACAGCTATAGAAAATAAGAAATGTAAGATATCATCAATTAAAGTGTCTTAATTAAACGCAAGCTGTTAAACCCCGGCAGGCCTCCCAGAGTAGCGTTTCCTTCATAAAAATTCAGATTTAGTGACAAGAATGTACCCCAATTTAAAGTGGCAAGTTGACAGAAACACCATGTAAGAAACTGGGTCACCCAGTATACACCAAGTGTAGTGATGCCATGTTTTTAGGTAACATCAAAACGAAGGTGAGAGGAGGGAGGAAGCTGTCTTGTTTTTCTAGAAAAAGGTCATATGATCCCTTGCCCACGCTCATTATAATAATCTTATATGACTTATTAAAGCTATAGTAAGGCCAGGTTGGATGGGGCTCTGAGCAACTTCATCTAGTGGAAGGTGTCCCTGCCCATGGCAGGGGGGTTGGAACTAGGAAATCTTTAAGGTCCCTTCCAACCTAAACCATTCTATGATTCTATATGAAAGCCTTCACTTGAAATTTAGTAAGAGTATATTTACTCTGTAATCAACCTGAGCGTGGAAAAGGCAAAAGCAAAGCAATATAAAAAAACCCAACAGTAGATGAAGTAGTTTTCTTGTCCATGTCATCCCTGTATTTTTACAACCAAGTTAATTCTAGAATGTCTATCAGACAGTCTTTATCACAAGGAGATGAGTGCACCTGGATACTAATTTATGTATATTTCATTACCTATGTTCCTGCATAATGTAAAAGCTCTTTTTATCAGCCTTCAGTGAGATCAATAGATCAACAAACATTTCTGTCCAAAAAACTGGGGGCAACACACAACAAGGAAGCAGAGAGGGAAGAGTCAGCTGAAGTAGTAGAAAACAGGAGACTGTATCAGTCCTCACAGTTCTGAGAAAAAAGGGTTCCTACAAAAATCTTTCTGCAAAAAGTTACATTTTCTCTAACAGACAGAATCACATCTACCTATAAATCCTTTACAAGTTTCCAGATACAGCTGCAGTACACTGAACCTTAAATATTTATACTACTTTAAAAAAAGTGAAGGGGAAAATGCTCTTTTGGACAATCCTAGATTTGAGGGGAGTTCTAAAGGGGCACAAGAGCAATTATAAAATACATGTTACCTACATAAAATGTAAGATAATACATTAATAAAGTGAAAGTTCTTTATTGTGCTTGTGAAGGACAAGTTCTACATCCATCACTTCTCACTTCTGATGTTCATGTAAACCCAAGAACTATAGTGTAAAGTTAAAAAGTGAAACTCTGAAAAAGTCTTGTTTTCACAGCTCGTTCCTTTTGGCAACAGCAGCTTCAACGCAAGTGACACCCAAACTTCTGCATTTGGAATTTCAAATGACTAACCGAAAGGACTTGTGAGTTTTAGGAATAACCATGTGAAAGTTTGCTCTTCAAGAAAAAGGAATGACACTGGATAAATACTTATCCATCTCAGGCATGAACTCAGTAACGTTTGTGAGAACATAGATGAAAATAGCAGAGGTTTGGTAGGAGTAGTTACAGAATTCCTCCTCTTCAGTTTTCAAAAACAACAGACAATACAAGATTTTGATTCTTAAATTTATTTTTAGCAGGATGTGTGTACTAATGGATGGTGACATCATTAGAAGATAGGTCCATGTCCACCACCTGCAACAGAAGCTAGACAGATGTTAAAGAAAACAATTTAAGAGTTAAAGATGACACTACTTACCCAGAGCAGACTTATGAAAGTCACCTACTAAGCAATACAGTTAGCTTTTGATGCAGACATGAAAGCTCACAATATTAATCTGTTGTCAAAATCTCCTGTCAAGATTTAACGCATACATTACCTTGATTTTGATGGGAATCACGCATTACTGTTTAGAAATAACTATTAGAGAAAGTCTTATTTATAAAAAAGTACTCATGGAAAGATGGGGTTTTCAAAGTTACTTACCTGTAAATTTTCTTCAGAAGATAAAAGATCTCCAAATTTAGGTCTAAAGCTCCCATCTAAAGTTTAAAGTTCGCAAGAATTTGCTGGGAATTCAATTTCTAATCCTGTTAAACCAGGTCAACAGCAGGTAACATTTCTAGATCCCACTAAGAATACAACCACTTGTTTCTTACCATACCTGGGTATTTGAGAAAGCAATAGGGTAGGATCTCAGCAATATACTCACAGATGGGTGACACCAATCCAGAAAGAAATGAAGACTTGATATGTTACAACCCAGAGATCATGTTACACTCAAAAAAATGTCAATAGCCAGATGTCTAAAAGGAAACAAGCTCACCTAGAACAAATTAATTTCACCAGAAATTAAACTTGAGCAGCAAAACCTAGGGACAGGCACTGCAGGAAATACATTCTCAAAGAATTAGGCGACAGGCCTGTGCCCAGTGCCATTTCAAACAAGCAGCCAAGAAGCAAGGCTCAATCTGAAGTATGGTATTTCCCAAGACTGCAAAAACAGGGTCCTTACTTCAGAAAACAAATGCATCTGGCTACAGGTATTTGGTATTTACGCCAGAAGATAGCCATTTCTTAAAAATGAATAAAAAAATAAATTAAAAAAACAAAACAGAGAAGCTAAGTCACTTGGCCCCACACCCATCATGAAGACATCCTGATGTTACATTTCAGAAGTTCAGAATGATTATCAGCCTGCACTTCCCAAACCAAAAGGCACTACTGGTAGCGAACATAAAGTCACTTCACTCATCTTAACACAAGTTCAGAGGCATGATTTTAAGGTTCTTGTTCTTTACAACCTCTTGGCTCATAGCTCTTTATTAGGACCTTGGGTTTACACCATCTTGGCTGACAGTTCTTTATTAGCAATCTGCATTTTATTAGTAACCTGATCAGCCTAAAAACATTCTTACAGTATACCTCAACATCCTAGGACTTCATCTATTTAAAAACAGACTGCTACAGGTACTGAAGACTGGCTCCTGCTTTCTGAAGACAGACCTCTGAAACCAGTGTGAAACTGGAAGCATGCTATACTAAAATGAAATTCTTTAACAGTTTAAATAATTCAGCCAAGAAACTAGCAACTGCTTTCACTTACAGCTATGACTTCTTTGACCTAGTAATACTGGGAATTAAACTGTTTTGTATTTGTTGAAAACAACCAACAAGAGTGGAATCTATCTACAGCTGCACTCCATTCGTAATTTCTGATTAATTGAGCTCTTTTGTTTTTACAGAAGTATAAATCTGTCTGAAGGACTAAGTCACTGCTTTTTGAGCAACTCACTATCCCAGTGGTCTACTATACCTAAACAGGGTCTAATTGCTGGTAATGATCTATAAAAAGATTGAGTGTCTCAAGACAATCAGTCTCACACTGGTACTGTGGGAACTTGTCCTTCAAACACATCACACACACACACAGAGAAGGTATGGCAGGTAATTAAAAGCGTAACACTTCCTGTTCTTTAATCTTCCAGATTCCATTGTGCAGCTGGATCAGCTGCTACTGCAATCAGCACTACCGTGCATACCATCCATCTTAAATGAAGCTGGTTGATATTCTTCCCACAGGATCAACACAGTAAAGTTGACAGGAAGAACCTTCAATTGCTTTTCTCTGAGCAAAGGAAGGAAGTCAGGAAATAAGAGTAGTCTAGGAATGATATAACTGATCTGAATGATCACTTCAGATACATTGTGAAAACCATTTTCCTGAACAAAGACACCACAAAATCTGAACTCAAGTTATGAAGTTATAAAAAGGATAAAGAAACCACAGAGTAAAGAAAATGTTCTTGTCAGGCCCGTATGACATGAAACTCAAAGAGCAATTGATTTGTGCACCACGGTAAGGACTGCATGCATATGCTGCAGTTACAGGGCACTGCAACTGTTCTATTATCTCCCCTTGCAAAAGCAGGCAGCTTCCGTTCTATTACTGTAATACCCAAGTTAGAGCTCAAAGCTGAGACAAGGGATTTGGGAAGCAAAGGACATGAAATTACAGACATATTTAGGATACGTGGAATGGTCAACAGGAGGCTTGACAGTATTATGTAGTAGGAAAGGAAAACAGATAACTGGTAATAGTGAAGAATGGAATAACTTAGGGGATCATTTGCTCATAATGAGCTGTTCACTCTGCATCCTTCTCTTATTAATTTGTCATGTCCTAATGATGCTAGTGCTACAAATACTGCTGTGTTACAGGTTGTAGAACCTAAAACTACATTTTACGGGGTTTAATGGATGCTTCAGTAAGGTTAAAGTGTTGTGTTGAAACTAGTAAATAAACTTATATCCTTTAAGTGGCTTCACAGACCGACAACTACCAGAAAGATCATTCTATTCACAAAAAGGACATTACTAAACAATGTAATACATAACTAACACTTACAACAATGAATGAAAAGAACAAGAAAGAGTTTACTCTATGAAGAATTAAGTTTGTACCATTCAGGATAAGGCTTTCTATCTACACTACTAAAACTACGTCTGTACATGTAATGAAGACTGAATAGGCTAAAAAAACAGAGAAAAACAAAGAAGTGATTACAGTTGTAACATTACCTAATGTTGAGCTGGTTTAATAGATTTAGAATACTAGAACAAAAAAAAAAAATCATCTCATTAAAAATGTGCTGGAAGCAAAGACCTAACAGTGGTGATTAAATATTTACCCTTGGAGAGAAAATTTGTTTAGGCAAACTAAAAACATTGGCAAGAACAAGCTTTAGTGAAGAATGGACTAAAACAAAACATTACGCACTTCCAGCTTATGTTCTTTCTCTGCAAGGAATTCTTTTTGACATCGGAGAAAGTCCGACAACATTCGAGTTAGCTGTTTTCTATCATCTATTTCAGCTGCCAACCTGCCATTGTAATCCGCCAGCAACATACATGCATCATCTACCATTTTGGAAAGTTGCTCTCCAGATTCCTTATCTAAAAGGCAAGCAGAGAAAAAGCAAGTAAAGCACAATTTTGTCATATACTGTGAAGTTCTCACAACAGCATTTCAGTTACTGGATCCCCAACCCTCACCTGTTATTCTGTCTAACAGGGACACATCTTGGACCTCTATAGGCAAAGAAGCTATTCTCTGATGAACTGCTGCATCCCCAGAGGCAGCGTTTTCTAGTTCTTGTAATGCTCTAATGAGATCTGTGGTCTGAAAAAAACATGCAAGATTAAGAACTAGTTTAAATAAACAGATCCTAGTACAAAACAGTATTTCACAATAAGCTTATGGAATCAATTTGATGGTAATTTTAAAAGCATTTATGATATCAGTGTTCTAGCAACATTCTATCCCCTCTCAGACTGAAAATAAAACAAAAGTAAGCCATTAATTCTCAGCACATCATCGCAGTGTTCCTAGTTTTAAAGGTCACCTTCCTAAAATAGATTTTTTCATTTAAATTCTTGGTATAGGACTACTTATAAATCTTTTATTTTTGACAGTAGTAAATTATTTTACAGTACCTTTCATTTTACTATACTTTTTTCAAATTATTTTTCTTGCAGTTTTGCTTCACTACCACATCAGACTAGATCAGTGCTCTTTTGGAAACAGGTCTGATGTTCATAGAAGCCCAGATGTCTGCTACAGAGAAACATACTAGATTGTGATTATTTGAGGACAGCCATTCTTTGCCATAACAAAAAGCCCTTTGAGATGGGGCAGTACAGTAACAAAAAACCCGCAAGAATTATAAAAGCCATAACAACGCAAGGCAGATAACAACTTTTCCCAACCATCATGACTGCAAGATTGAGAAATATTTTACTGATAAACCGATAACAATCTTATTCTAATACATGTGTTACTGGTTACCACCCTGGAAACCAAATGAGAACCCAAAACATTGTAGAAACTAATGCTGAAATCCTGATGTGGCAAAGCAGGATACATAGTTCATATGCTCTGGTTTAGTGTCAAACTGACTAAAGTTACAGCACGCTCAACTTCTTAGCTCCACTTGTAACCTAAAGAATGGTGAAGGAAAGCTTCAGGTGTAGTCATCCCTGCTCAGAAACAGTACCTCATTTAAAAGAAAGACAGAGACCACTCAAAAACAAAAGTAACTGAAAAATTCTACATGAAACCATATGCAAACACAGAATTTTATAAACATGCTTTTACCTGTGGAGGGTCAGTGGGAGAACTTCGAGGTGAACAGTTATTTTCATCAACTTTTATCTGTTCATATGTGCGCTTCCTCACCTTTCTGTCTCCATCTAAATGAAAACAAACAGAGGAGTCAGAGACATAGTATTTCAAACAAGAGACTGAATCTTTGTACACACACACAAATACTTACACAAAGCTTGCCTAAGTTGTTCTAATACATCATTTTCATAAACAGACCTTTCTTCCCAGATAGAGAGCACTCGGCCAAGGTGCTTCTTACAACTCTCATCCGACTCACTGTTACAAAAAAAAAAAAAAGGCAAAAATCAGCACTAGGTAAAAATACAGCACTTCCCTACGATTATCTTTCACAGAAGGACCTTGGCATACTTTATCAATATCAAAGTACCAGAAGTTCAATAATTTCAGAAAATAACAAAATCACATTTTAAAGAAAAGTAAACAAAGAGCACTTCAAGATGTCTTCGCAAGCATGTAAAAAAGCCAATGCCCAATTCCCTTTCTATTTGCTTGCTTAACCCATAAAGCTGTAGGTCTGTAACTCTATTATGCAAACACTGCAAATAGGTCTGTGTTGCTTCAACAGCTGTGTATCATGTGAAAATAATTCCGTATCAAGACTACAGCATGCTCATGCAAGAAGACAAATGACTGCTGGAAAAAAACCAAATCATGCAACACTAGTAATGAAACATAACCAAACTGCAGTAGCATATAAACTCAGACTGAAAGCAAGTCTTAATTTAAGGCATAGCTAACAGCTTTCTAAGGCAAAAGGGACTGAATGCAGATGAATTTACGATGTAACTTCATCCAACAGCATTGAGACTATCCAAGATCAAAAGAAAATTGAATAAATTAAATTAACAAGACTTCAAGTACAGAACTAGCACACAAGGACTAGCTGTGTCAGAAGAGATGAACTGAGGACTTCTCTAAATCCCTCTCAAATACAGTAGGACACTGCACATAAGTGTACTGTACCTTGAAACATGCTTAAAAGCCTCCACTATTACTGGAGCAAAGTCTTTCGTAAATTCTGGTCCTTTCCTTTTGCTGTTCTGTATGACATCATTGGCCAAGTACAGGAATGTCAGCTTCCTATTTGGTTTTGCTAGTAAAGAGTGATAAACAAGAGTAATTAGAAAATTTTGTTCCTCCAACTAATACCTATTTATGTGCATTTATACTAAACACAAAAATCCCCAAATCACATGTTTCTCCTAGTCTCATTACTGCTTACAACATTTCACTCTAATTTTTTTATTTACAAATGTGAAAAGACTTCAGCCACCCCTTGGCTTTTCTCTCTCTTCTGCTGTAACTCTTTCCTCAGATTCTTCCTCCTTCATAACACAAGTTCCCTCTAGCCCCATCTCCAAAAATAAACAAAAAACCACGGTACTCCAAAACATTCTTCAGGCCTCAAGGATTTTCAGATGTTTTCCTGAGCCCAATGTAATTTGTCTGTTTGGTAGCCTTCATGGATTTCTTCCACATCCTTCAGCTTCTCTTTGAGCCTGCATAAATTTCTTACACCCATTAAGTCCTCTGACTAGGAGCTTCACAGATCCACAATCATTCATGTGAAGAACCTCCTCCTTTCGGCTTGAATTTCACTCAGTCTTATATAACCACCCCTCATTCTTGTATTTGAGCAAACTGAACAGTCAATCCCTAGTCATCCTCTACATATTACTGTGATACTTCCCTCTCTCAGCTCCTAATCATTAAAACACTCATGTGCCTGCGACTGTAATATCAAAGAAACATTTTCAAAAATCACTTTCAGGCTGCTGTAGTGTATCTCTTCTCCAAGAGTCATAAGCATTTTACCCCATTCCCATTAACGTACAATAGATTACAAACCTCCAATTTACAAATTGCTTTTGCAAATCTATTCTGTGTTTTCTAAGTGTTCCTACATAATTATGTATTTTCATTTACCATCACACTTCATCTAATCTTCGTCTTCATTAGCCTACAGGTTTCTCAGAGCTGCAACTCTTATTGTAACCCTTCTAACCTTGTCTTAACACCAGAAAAACCTTCAATATCCATTACCACCACACAGACTCAGTATCTATGCTCTGATGTTAAAAAAGTTTCTCTTGAAAGACAAGATTTTTCTGCCCTCCTGAGGAAAGCAGCGCTGTGCTAAAGCCAATCTAGGTTTTCCTAAAACTCATGCTTAGCTCCCAATATGATTTCATTTTGTTAATTTCCATTCCAACCTCTCAAACATGCAGAGCCATCATCCTCACATACAAACAGAAAATTCAATGTTAACATGCTTCATTCTAAAAAAATGTTTTTGAGAATAAACTACGAAGACTCCTCTGAAGGATTTATCTGGCCACAAGGTGGATCTATTAAAAACCTGCTCCAAACAGTGAAGTCACTACATGCAAGCACCCAGGAAATTCATCTATTTGGGTCAATATCTGGCTAAACTAAAAATGTAGATTTATAGACTTATGCTATTTAATTTCTATATTAAAAACTGACTGACAATATAGCAACACATCTACCCATGTTTCAGGTAAATCACAGTTCTGACACATAGAAAGCTTTAAATTATTCAAAGAAAGAATCTTCAAAAACACAGCTTGTCTCAGGGGTGCACCAAAATTAATAAGCATTTACCAAAGCTGACCCTGCCCTCCCCATTTCTTAAATGGGCCCAGAATTGGGACACAAAATCTTATGTTCCCCATACTACAACCTCTGAACTGCATGCAGGATAGGTCCTTGTCTATCCATTTCACAGAAAAAAAAGTCATGTTTTAATCCTCAGTGATGCAACTCATTTGTGACAGACCTCAACCTCCTTGTTTCCAACAAGTAATCAAATCAACTGAGCTGGTATAAAGACAGAAGATGCAGTGCCATGAAGTCAGATGATTTTGATTCTCACAAAGCCTAGACTTTTATCTATTCACTACAGAAAACGGATCAATACACCGTATTTGGAAAACACATGCTAAAACCCAGAAAGTCATGTTCAAGCTTATTTCCTCTAGTATTGTATTTTCAACTTACTACTACAATTCAACAGAAACAAAGCTAAATTTTATGAACATAAATCCTCATAAAAAACTATTAAGCTATCTATGGCTTTCTACCCTTATGTTCACAAAGAATATTGTGAAGTAAATTTTAATTCCTCTTGCTGTAAGAATGCTCTGCACAAAATTCCAAAGCTAAAAATTATGCCTACTCTCAAGAAGCGTTCCCTTTCACTTCAGAAATCTTCGGGAGTTACATACTGGCCTACTACCTCTCTGCCTTACGTACGAGACTAAAGTGCAACATAACCTTTAACAACTGAGGCTGACAACTCTGAGCTGAAAAAAACTGAAGTGTTCTGTTGCTACTATGACTGTAAATTAACTACTAAAGTCTAAAATACAAAATTAAATTCCAGACCAGATATATCTGTTCTGAAAGAAATTATCTGTTTAAAGCCTCTCTCTTCAGTAGTAGTAACACTAGCTTTTCAGCCCTGGGCTTTGATATACCTCAAAACACCAAAATGGATCAAAGAACAACTAGACTATTTAAACAAAAAAAAGTGTCCCCAATGCTTGGTAAGGCTATTAGTAAAAAGCACTCTTACTGTCAGAAGAAAATGAAAGATAAAAGGTATGATCCTACGTTAAGGAAGGATCTGAAAGGCACATACTGCCAGAGTGTAAAGCGTTGGAAGTGGCTAGCCCACAGTATCTCTGGTACACTAACAGCACAGTCTGCAAACACAAAACTGCTGAGAAAGCATCCATGTTGGACTAAGTCATCTTTTCAGAAGCTCTGTGCAGTGTTCACATATCTCTTCTGCTTGTTTCAGTTAGATTTACCATTTACCCACTGAAGCAGCTTCCTGAAGTGCTGATTACTGAAATATTTTAACAGGTCAACAGTGCTGGCTAGTAATAAGGCCCGTATTAAGCAGATTACTCTTACAACATCCACAATGAGACTGGGATTGGCACCTTACAACTGAAACTAAGTCTGTCCCAAAAATGTATCTGATATAGTTCAATGCCAATTAATAATCTGCAGGTATGCATGGTATTTCACCTGCAACTAGCATAATCAGGCATCTATGGTGGAAAGACCTCGCATCCACATTAGCAAGCCTTAGTTTTCAGCAATCTGTACTTCTTAGGAACACACACTTTGTTAGCCTTGTTTCGGTATTCCTGGTTCTCCACCAGTCCAATATAGGTGCCCTGACATCAAATGCTTGAGTCCATAATACTTAGAGTACTCTAACACTGAAGTGCAAGAAACACTTTTGTGCAAGAAACTAGTATTTTACCATGGAAGGCAGTAAGCATGTTATTTTCACTGAGGTTAACTCTGGCAATCAAAGCTATCATAATCATCCATATTTGTCTTCTCCAGGTTTACCTCCTGGCATTGCAAACTGAGCTCCCATGAAAATTGCTAGAAACAAACCTGTTAATTTAATGCTGTTCTACACATCTTCCCTAGAGCTGAGAGACATTTGCTGTCTTAGACATACAGGAAGAAACTACAGAGAAACACACAGGCACAAGGGATTTCACTTACATCCCACTACAATTGTATACACTACTGACCCATCTGAAAATGCTACATTAGGCTTTTACCTTCTACAGGTGCCTCTGCTATGTCAACTGACTGACCTTGAATGAAAATATCACTTAACAAGAAGTTTTGAGAAAACAACCATCAGTAAGTTAAAATCCCACAAATGTTATCAGCGCTAAACAGTTTCTTTTTTACTGAAATTCTCTATATCAATCTCAAACAAAGATTTTGATCAATTGCTTCTGAATTACATTAGTCTACATACATGCAGTAGAGTATATGAGTGTCAGCACTTCTCCCAAAATCCCTGGGACATTTCCTGTGTCACAGAATGCTTCATACCTTTGCATTAGAAGTTACATGACATCTTTGTAAACATCTGACAAGCCTTCAAGCTTTTTATTACAAGACCAATTCATCTTTTTTTCAGTCAAGCAGCACTGAAACTTGAGCGCAAGTTCACTGACCCTTCACACTGAGAGCTAACCTGAGTTTTTATGCAAGCTGATTAAGTGCAGCATCTTCAGTAACATGACTGAAAACACACCTGGAAAAAGTCACTTGAGGGTCTACTAACAGAAAGAACAATTCAAAGATAATATAATCCACAGAAGGCATGTTGTACAATGAGCACTGAACAATCTTAAAATTCATTAACCTTCTGTTATGAAAAAGTTAAACTAAGCGTTCAACATTGCGCAGTCACCTGATTCTCCTGGTGAATTTTACCAAGGTTTGAGAACTGCCATGTCTCCTTTTCAGAGGGGAATGAGACTGCCCACAGAATGTGTATCCAAGGTTTGAGGGTCCAAATATCTTGACTTTGAGTTTGGAGGCTAGCAGACAAAGGGAACACGGCATACAGCCACTGCTGGGAAAGAGGCCATCAGCATCAAATGACCATGAGGGTGTCAGAAAGTTGGTCACAAACCAAGGAAACTAATCCAACATAATTACTCTGTAGGAGCTTCCCACTGCACTTAGTGAATCTTGAATCACCTGAACACGTGAAACAAACCAATTCCTTTCCTCGCCTGGCCAGTACAACGCTAAGATGGATATGAATCGACAGCAACAACAGTTTTAGGATAGGAAAAAGACATTGAACCTAATTATTTACAACAAGAATGATGAAAGACAGGCAGGTACAGGTAAGATATCAGGACATGAGTAGTACAGCAACAAATGCATACAGATTTGTACACACTGCATTCTTTCAAGAGCAATATTAGAGAGTCAACTACTCAGGCTGGATTACACAATCCAAATGTGACTATTTTAAGTGAAAGATTCTTACATTGCTAATCTGTTGCTCCTGACCATAGGTCATTTTGTACATCACATATGTAGCAATTATGTTTCTCTAACTTGGCGCAAGAACTCACATTCACCTCAAGTTTTGTGTGCTGTTGGTTGATCTCCAAACTTTTGCACAGAGAAGATTCATGTGGATAAGCAAGAAGGTATCCACAAGCACCTCTGTTTTAAGTATCTTACTTGCTTCCTCAAGAACACCTAATACCCAGTGAAATCAGTAAGCCACAGTTTTATTTCTTCTAAATAAAACAAAATCTATTTATTCTCTCAAGTGTATCACATTGGCCAATGACGCTATACCACCATTAAGTAAAATCTTAAAAACACCACTAGTGAAAGATTCTTTCTCTTGGCAGAAAAACTACACTACATAGTACAAAAAATACTTGCTTTAAATTAAGAACTTGTTTCCTGAAATCCACTTCACATCTGCAAGGCAATATTTTTCCACCACTTTTGGCTGTGGTTCTGCTCCAAAGCAGTTGACTGAATATCAGAGTAATTCAGGTGTAGTACAACTTTCAAATCTGGGTTCAATGTTGCTAGGCCTTCTCAGCTTGCTTACTAAAATCTTTTATCTTCTCATTTTCAGCAGCATTGAGCAACTGCTACAATAGCCACTAGCTTCAGAAAAATGCATTTCATCAATACCAACAGCTGTAATGAATGAGGACCTAAACACCAGCATACATCCCAAGAGCAGAAGTTGTTGGCAAACAGCCATATATAAGCAAAAATAGTTGCTGCTTATACCACTGAATGACTTCAACACCCCAAAACAAACAAAAAAAGTTCAAGCATAATTGGCACACCACATAAACTGGCAGAGTCAAGTGCTAAAAATATGTCCCTCTGTAGCAGCCCAGGTGTACTTATGCAGTTGTAGATGTCTTAAAGACGATATATAATGGCTCTACTAACCTGGATAAGCTTTGCAGCAAAGACAATGATCAATGTGACACAGGTGAGGTGAGAGATGACAGCCAAAAGGAGCGGTCAAGTGATTAAGGGGAGGGTAGTGTTCAGCATCAGTTTCGGAGACTGACTAATCTATGAGATGCCATGTCAGGCTCTGAGGAAACAGATACCTGAATCTGAGATTAGGTTTAAAGATACAACATGACAACTATTAAAGTATCACCAGGATGTAAATACCTAAAAAGTGACAGAGATGGACCTGGAAAAGCTAACAGAAAATAAGTTGACAGAAAAAGAAGATATTACAGACAACTAACTGGAGCTTGAAATAAAAAGTCCCATATTACCAAACTCAAACATTTAGCAATTTTATATTTTCCCTTTTAAACTGGACACATTTTAACCCAGTATAGCAAATATCACATGGCGCTTACTGAACAAGCGCTTAATATTCACCCTTGAAGGCTGATGCTTTGAATTACGGAACTGAAATTTTTCATTTCAAAACAAAACACACAAACCAACCCCCACAGTTGCAGAGAATCCTGAAATCGGGGAGCAAGAGAACTGATTCGTGAATAACAAAAAATAAGTCTCAACAGCCTCCATGTCAGAACAGCCTCTTCAAAGGGGTTTCCTAAGGGTTTTCCCAGCAGCCACTCAGTAGTGGTAGGCTTACACAATGAAGTTTTATGTGTAATGCCACTACTTAATTTAAAAAAAAACTGTAAGTCAAACCCTTTATGGATACACTAAATTAAATAGTTTTAACAGGCCCACCAGTTGCATTTTGGGAATGACTGATGTATTCACATTACAGTTAATTAATTAGTATTAAACTACTTAAATACCGAGTAAGCTTATGACTACTAAGTAATTAACTATTTAACTTGGAGTGTTACATTTCATACCGCTGAAGTCTAGCTGAAGCAGGATCATGTTTCTCAGTGAACACTTTTCAAGCCTTTACAAAATTCTCCCTAACCCCCACTCAAAAGGTCTCTGTAAAATAATTACACATGTGGCAACATTATCACAATATAATCCACACAAGTTACTTTGAAGCAATCATGAAGCTGCCATATCACAAGTACCAAGAAAAAAGCCACCCTTTTCTAGAATAATAATCCAAACTGCGTAAGATTCTCATGTTAGTAAGACATTTACTACAAATGAAGTACTAAAAGAGTAGCCCCACCAAATTATTTGTTCCATCAATCAACTACGAAATCCAAAAGAATGCAGACTCATGATCAGCATAAGCCCGTGCTAACACCGGTTGTGGCCTAAAGAGGTGATGCTATCATCACTGTCTCCTTTGTGCCAGCACTAGTTTTTCATTAGGGAACTCATCTATTTCAAAACTAATTATTCATTTTTCTGGATTTTCATCAGCAGCACAACACAAAATATTGTCAGAAAAAAAGCATCAGAAATATTTAAAGACATTTAACCAACAGCAAAGTGGAAAAGGAGTTGTTCTGTTGTCATTGTAGACCTCTGCTTATCTGTCAAAACAGGAGAAATCTTTGTTATTTCATTACAGTTGTCATCTAAGTTAAAGGCATTCTATTAATCTTTTCTCATTATTTTACTCACCAATGAACAAAAGATCAATGAACTACAGAATCTATTCTCCACTAATGGTAGTAATAGATAGTGAAAAAAACTTGAGCAATGCTGGAGTTCTGCAAGACAAATCCAATGTTATGTTAACAGTTCCAACTTATGACAAAGACCTGCGACTTTTGCTCATTCTCCACATTTATATCCAAGTGCAAGAATTCACCAAAAGAATCAATGAAAGTTCAACTGTAGAAAACCTGTAGATGAAGGTGTATGGAACTGATGATCTGTAGAGATGCCCTAACATGGGACCGGAACACTACCAATGAATCAAAGTAAACAGAAAGGGACTAAGATTTTACGTTGCCTAAGTTATATGCACATCTGAAAAGCTGCCTCTTCACTCCAACAGGATAGAAAGAAAGACAAGACTATTTTAAAAATAAAAGAATCAGAACCAAACATTTAGCAACAAAAGAGCTGTGATCCTAGCACTTGTTTTCTTGAATAACGAAAGACATCTTCAGACAGGTTCACGCAAGCTGATCTGAGACAAGAGATCTTTTACCAAAACTGAAAGCACCCAGAAAAAAAATGTAGTTAGTATCGTACTGTATTGTGTTCAACTCAGTGGGTTATACAATGTTCCACAAGCCTGAAAGGAAGTAGGCTGGAAGGAAGATCTGGGGTGACAAAAAAAGGATACATTGAAAGGAAATAAAATTCAGAAATGCAAGTTCAATTTTCAGTTCTGAGACACTAGTGGCTAGCAATAGCAGCAGACAATGCCAGTAATTTTGTTGTCTTTATTCCCCAAATAGAGATCAATTTCCCCTCAGGTAGGACAGAAATCGTATTTCTACAGCTCGGATGGTGGGCAAGTCAGGAGTCTTAAACCTCACTGCCAGTGTTCTGCTTTGTGATGTTTTATGCAAGTGACTTCACCACAGCATACCGGTTTTCTTTCTCATCTTCCACATGCTGTCTGCTTAGACCACTAAATCCACCCTTCGGGGATTAGGGACCGTCTTACAATTATGTGCTGCAATTAGCGAAAAGTTAGTACTGGGCAAATGTAAGCTAGCATTTATGAAGCTCAGGCAGCTATCAGAGACAGAAAATTAAATACATCCCATGTACCTTAACTACGCTAGCTTCAAATGAAGTGGTAGAGGAACATAGGAAAGAGGAAACACTTCACATAAGGCCTAAAAGCCCAGAAGAAAAGGTGCAGGATCTTGAAAGCACCTAACCTACTCCTACTGGAGGTAGACTATCACATGCTTTCCACAGACCTTTGAAGGTTGGCTTCCAAAAAGAGGTCACCAGAAAGATCTTACTTTGAAGCAGTAAAAGCTGGATGACAACTTCAACAAACTGAAGATCAAAACAATTGTAGCTGCTATACTCATCCAAAGCTCCTGAGCTACATCCTCAAAACAGACTTAAAAGTGGAAGCCAGACATTGAAAGCTGAGAAAAAGCAAAGCATTCCCATGAGTTCTTAAGATCATTACCCTTGCCTCTCAATGCCACCTTCAAACGTGTAGCCCATGTTTCAAACATTTCATTTCTATAATTAGTCAAACAGCACAACAGGAAAATTATGCTAATACTAAAGTTAAGGACTGACCGTTAATATTACAGATTATTATGAACTGGTATGGTGTATGTTAATTAAGATGAGCAACCAAAACTCTGCCTGTGTGCCAATTAGTTTAAGATACCTTTCTGATATCATTCAGAATACCAAACATGCAAGCTGTTTGTTTAGAAGGCCCAGAAACAGGAGAAGTTTCTGATGCAGATGGGAGATCCATTCATTTGTTCTCAGAACAAAAAAGCAAGCTTGCAACAAACATATAGTGAAAATATGTTTATTTCATAAGATGAAGTGTGCCACCAAATATGTCCTTCTTTATGCACCAGAAAAAAAAAGGAATTTAACTCATGCTTGAAAGTCCAAAAGATAACATTTCACAAAAAATCATATTTTAAACAAAAACGCAGCAGCCACATGAAAACCTACAGTTTATAGGACAACATTTCCATACTATACCATAAAGTTTAGTATTACTTCATACTGAAAACTTATTCTAAGGGTGGTTCAATCCATTTGCTATGAAGTTATGCCCCATAACCCAGAGGAAGTTGTGACCCAGACGTGCACTCTTTGTATTCTGTTACACACAATTTCTGCAAGTCGACTATCGCTCTTAGTTCCATGAAACTAAGGGACTGTTTTCTCTTTCATAGGTCCTGTAATGGCTTAGTGCTACTTTTCCTCTCCACTTAAAAATCTAGCCTTCTACTTTTCCCATAAAAGATCCACATATTAATGGGGCTTGAAAAGAAACTATTAGAAGACAGTAACTTTTCCTACAGCAAGGTAGAGTTCTAGCAAGTGATTTTTCTTTTTCTTAAATAAGTCAAGTTAAGATCGAGTTATTTTTCAATCAGGTCAAATAAACCTTACATGCCATTTCTGCCTTTCAGTCCCTGAACCACTGCCTATAGCTGCAAGTTCTTTCCTGTTAAAAGGAAACACATGTCAAAATCTAGGTCTGCACACTCAACATCAAATACTCAATACAGCTAAAGAAACACACATTTTTACTATGCCAACATCGGTATCAGTCATCTGGCAAAAACAGGAAGTAAAAAACACTTTAGGCACATTAAATTGCTCTTCCCCCAAGAGTATTCCCATCCTCAGTGGCCCTACAAGAATAGTTGCTGGTATAAGTGCACAAAGCCATCCTGTCAGGAAACAGTAACAGGCTAACCATCGTTATAAATGATGAAAGACAGTACCTAAAAAGGGGTCATCTTGGATGAGACGTAACTACTAGTATTAAAACAAAAAGCCCCAAACCCCGTGCTTGCTGCCTTCCTTCCCTTTTCCCGCTTTCCTCTCTCCTTCCACAAAGAAGGGGAGTAAAACACGAGAAGTGGCCTCCCCAGAGGCATCTCGCTAAGGGAGGAAGGGGGAATGGAGGAGGGAGAAGAGAGGAGCCAGGGGAGCAGAGAAAAAAAAAAAAAAAAAAAAAGAGAGAAGAGAAGCGTTTCCCGGCCCACAATCATCAAGAAATCGAGACGCGGTGTTTAACACTTGCCCCAGTGGCTCCATTCTCCCCAGGCGCCGGGGCCGGCCCGCCCTCCCCCTCTCTCTCTCCCTCCCTCCCTGGCTCGACAGGCCGAGGAGTTCCTCTCTACCCCCAAAGAGTTTGAAAGAACCCCTCTCCACTCTGCTTGAGAGCAGCACATCATATCTAAAAGCAGACCAGGCAAAGGAAAGGTCTCGGTCAATCTCAGCACGCCACAGGTGCTAAGTGGTCAGTTGCATAACAGAGACTATGCTCTTAGAAAGAGAAAAGGATGGAGAACTCTTAGTTCAGGCAGTCTTTTAGAGGACAATAAAACACTTTAAGCAGATGTCTAATTCATCTTTTAGACATAGATTATCTTTTTCAAGCACCTGTTTTTGATAGAGCAACACCCTTATTCCTTGCCTTTCAGAAAACCATGATGGAAAAAAGGGCTAGCAAAATCGGGAAAATTTCTTTAAACATGGGAAAATAAACGTGCCTTCTTCCTACATAAATTTTGTAATTGACTTAACCACTGAAGAAGAAACTTAAAAAGAAACACCCAGAATTGGGAGAGCCGCCCGGCCCTGGCCCCGCCCTCCTCCCCCTCCTTTCCTCACTTCCGGCAGCGGCCCAGAACGAGGCAGAGTGGGGAGGTGGGGGGCGGGTATCGGAGCCGGTCTTACCCGTCGAGCGCGCGCCGCCCTCGCGCCTCTCCCAGCAGCCCTCGCGCCGACTCTAGGGGGCGGGCGGGCCTGCTGGACCCAGGGGGTCAGAGAGCGGGGCTGCTTGGTGATGGCTTCCCTCAGCCAGAGCCCACTGGCCGAGCTCAGTCCAGGTGGCCGCACTCCCAAAAGTCTGTGCGCACCAACCATTGTCTCCCAAGTGGCTTTAGAGATGTTTCCCGATGAGCTCTGGGTGACTGTAGGATGTGGTGAGCAGAGGCAGTTAGGGGCTGTTACTACAAAAGAACGGATACATCAGAATTTTGCCCTGGGAAATTACATAAAAAAACAGACGCAAATAAGGCCACAAGGCAAACCAGGCCTACCAGTTTCTCTCATCTAGCAGGTTGAGGAACTTTCTGTGACATAGGGTGTATCGTGTTTCATATTTGCAAGTGGACACATAATCCACAAATGTGTCTGGCCTCATTTTTAAAAGTTGTCTTTAATTTCTGGCATTGACAGTATCGTGACAGAATTCTACTGTTCAAGGACAAGATCATGTGCAAAAGTGTTTCTTCTTTGTTGTTTCAAACCGGTTCCCTTAAACCGTTACAGGACGCTTGCTACTTCTACTGTTACGGAAATAGTGCCTAAGAATGGTTCTCTGCTCACCTTCTTTGCATTCTTTCATAGCTTTTGTATTGTACCATCTTCAGTCATTTTTCAAGCTGAAGGATCCAAGTCAGTTCTTGCATGGAAGGTGGTGGTGTATGCTGCTGAACATGAGTAGCATTTTTAGTCTTAATGTGAGCATTTCTAGTCTGTCTGCTGCTTTTCTAAAACACACTTGACATTGCTTCTTATTTTAAACATTACCAACTAACTAACGTTTTCAGAGAACTATCCATCTTAACTCCTACAGGTCTATCCTGATTCCTGTTTCTAGCTAATAATTATGACTGCAATTAATGTCCTTCTCAGTATTTTTAATATTTCTATAAAATTATGTGTGTATTAATTATAAAATATGCGTATACCTTCCTCTGTGGATATCCTGGCAATGGTTAAGTATCCACTCTTAAAATGGAGTGTTCCTATAGCCTTTCACACATCCAGTTTGTCCTCACCAAAGAGCAGAAAGTTAGTTATGAAAAAAATCCTGTATTTTTAAAAATTTTACAAAGTTTTCTCCTTATTTCATGTCTGATGTCCAGACAAGATGTCCCAGACGATTATTTTCTGGCAGTTTTCCTAATATTGGTTCTTGGTGAAATCTTCCCTCTAAACATAAGACATTGGTGAAGGCAAGGTGGGAGTGCTAGGAGGTTTTAATGTGAATTCTATTTACAAAATCATCTGTAGCATGAATGTTTTTTGGGGAACTAGAAAGGATTTTGCAAAAACGCTTTTGACAGAGTAATTTAAGTGAGAAGCTGCACAGATCCCTACAGAGTCTCTTTTTGTTTGCTTTCACTGCATTTTGATCATGAATGCAAGAACCCGTAATATATTGCTATTTTTGCTATGTACAGCAGAGGACACTCTGGCATTAAGTAGAATTGGCCAGTGAAGTAAAATTAAGACAGAGCTAACACGGTTGTAAGTATTCGAAAAATGAAATACGAATTTTAATCTAGTAAATCATATTCAAATACCATTTTCTGGAGGCATATATTCTGACGTTAGCAGGAGAAACTTGTGGACAACTATGGAGAAAGAAACATTTCTCTTACGTACGAAACTAGATTAAAAATTATCTAGCAACAGCAACAAACAGCAAAATTTAGATGTTAAAGCAAAAAAGATAAGGAAAAAGAGCAGGAAATTGGTAGAGGATTTTAGTAATGACTGTACAAGTGTTTATTGCTGTTTCCTCTGCATCTTTCATCCCAGATTGTCAGAACATTTTACAAACAAGAATAAATCCTCTGAGATAGGTATTTATTCTGTAAATACATATATTTAAATACCAAGAGAGTGATCTATTGTCTGTGTATCATATAGTATACAGCAAAACTGAGATTTTACTTTCCCCATAAATCTTAGTAGCACATTTTAAATTTGTTATCGTAAATGTTTACATCAGTAATCTAATTTTAAAAGCTATGCTTATCCAGTCAGTTAATGGAAATTTACCACAAGACTCACTCAAAGTGAAGTGACTCTCAGACAGGAAGTATTCACAATGGAGGATTCGTTTGCTGTGGAGCTTTGAAAACCTCAGCTTTCATTCAGAAACAATTCATACATTATTCACCTGCCTTTAAAAAATTCACCCATGTCCGCAGGGGCGGAGCTGCCGGCAGATGGCAAGTTTTCTTCTACCCATTCCTGCATTCCAAGCACGATAATGTCTTTCCTCTGATTTCGTAGGAGCAAAATTCTGCACTGCTTCCCTTCTGTCTGACCACCGCGGGTTAGTGGTAGGTAGTCTGCTGTGTTCTCCAGCTCCTGGAGAGAGGAGCCCCCTGCAAGTGTGAGACAATGACTGTGAATAAATTACTCGGTTGATGTTTGTGTAGAACATGGGACTGGAAAGCTCTGGGTAGTTCAAAGGTGTAATTACATTTCACAGTGCAGTCACCAAGGGGCTGTACAGCATCCTCACACTTCATGTACTGGTCACGGGTTTTTTTTCTTTCTCTTTTCCCCTCACCCAAGGACATCCACATAAAACCTTTTATAAGAGGGGAATTTAACCCCAGTACCAATTGGAAGTTTTAAATTCTGTTACCTTGAGGGAATCCTAGGAAGTGTTTCAGCACTAGAAGGGCTGATCTGTATCTAAAATAGCAGTG